AGCTCAAGCACAAACAAAAGCCAAGGTGTTTGCTGTAGTTAAGAAGAAAATTAGGCTCGGCGCCAGCCACATACACTAAGCCTGGCGGGTTCAAACCTGACCTGGGCCGGCTAAACAACAATGGCAACTGCAACAAAAGACAGCTGGGCATTGTGGCAGGCACCTATAGCCCCAGTTACTTGGGAGGCTGAGGCAAGAGAATCACTTAAGCCCAACAGTTTGAGGTTGCTGTGAGACATGACTCCACCGCACTCTATTGAGGGCAACATAGTAAGACTCTGTCTCAAAAAAAAAAAAAAAAGAAAAAAGAAGAAGAAGAAAATTAAACCCCCAAATTGAAATTATCCTCCACAATGCTGCACCATGAAGTCTATACACAGAAGAGCAGACATCCTCAAACTATGGCCTGCGGGCCACATGCAGCCTGCCAAGGACATTTATCTGGCCTGCTGGGTGTTTTTGCGCCATTGCCTGTCCTGCTTAGCAACCAACTCATCCTGGGTCCTGCAGTCCGGCCCTCCAATGGTCTGAGGGACAGTGAACTGGCCCCCTGTTTAAAAAGTTTGAGGACCCCTGCAGAAGAGCATATGCAGTGGAGCAGCTGCATAAGGGAGGGGGAGGAACACTAGGACCCAGGGCCTTGACTAGAGGATGACTATAGGTAGAATGTCTGGTGTAAAATGGTCTAATATTTAATTTTAAATGTGTGTGTATTACATATGTGTGTGTGCATATGCGCATATATACACACATATCTGCATATATAGTAGACTGAGTTTTTATCTGGGCAGAGTTTATATCATTTATTAAACTTTAGATAGAATATTGATTTTATTTAAAATTCTATTTACAGTATAATTTCTCTTTGCTTAGGTGTTATTTTAGTCAATGGGTGTCAAGAAAGCATTGTAGACTGGGTATGGAGGCTCATGCCTGTAATCCCAGAATTTTGGAGACCAAGCCAGGAGGATTGCTTGATCTCAGGCATTTGAAAACAGCCTGAGCAATACAGTGAGACCCTGTCTCTACAAAAAGTTAAAAAATTATCCTGGCATGGTGGTGTGTGTCTGTAGCTCTAGCTACTAGGGAAGCTATGGCAGGAGGATCACTTGAGCCCAGGAGCTATAGGTTACAATGAACTATGATCATACCACTGCACTTTAGCCTGGGTGACAGAGGCCCTATCTCCAAAAAAAAAACTAAAAAAAGAGAAAGAGCATTGTGTCTGTGACAAGGCAAGTTTGGGGACTTTGTCCAAACTTGCCAAACTGGGAGAGGGTTTTGTATGGCAGACGCCCGTTGCCCTTAGCTCAATGGCCTCATTTCCCTCATGCCTGAGAAATCCTGCTTTGGTCAGAGGCAGGAGATATACTCCCAGTATCCTAGGATGGTGCCCATCCTATTTCAAGGACATCGTCAGGCACCTGACCTACCATCTGTAGCAGTGTAGAGATTTCCTATAAGAAGTGAGTCAAGGCTCGGCACTTGTAGCACAGTGGTTATGGTGCCAGCCACATACACCAAGGGTGGCGGGTTTGAACCTGGCCCAGGCCAGCTAAACAACAATGACAATTGTAACCAAAAAATAGCCAGGCATTGTGGCGGGCGCCTCTAGTCCCTGCTACTTGGGAGGCTGAGGCAAGAGAATCGCTTAAGCCCAAGAGTTTGAGGTTGCTGTGAGCTGTGATGCCACAGCACTCTACCGAGGGCAACATCTAAGACTCTGTCTCAAAAAAAAAGAGGTGAGTCAAGAGCTCCTCTGTACCCCAAATTATTGCCCCTTTGAGAGAGAGTGTTACAATTGCCTAAATTCTATCACTTGAACTTTATTCTCTGTTTAGGTTAGACAGTTCTTCAGTGTAGCTAAGACATGCTTGCTAATACAAAAAATTAGGAAATTAATGATCTCATAGGAGCTTGAGGCTATGAGACACTGGACAGATAGGCTTTTCTGGGGATTAGAGGAAAGGCAGGGACATGTAGTTGATGCCAGGGAGAGTATGGGTTTTGGCCTAAGTCCTAGAGCTCCAAACTTGGAAGGGGCATTGTTCTCACCACCATGCTAGCTCAGCCCAAGTAGTTATTCACTGTCCCCAAAGGCCTCTCTCCACCATTCCAGGCTTCCCTTGTCCTTACTATAGGTTTCCCTCTGGCCTCTGCAATCTTCCCCCAGCATAGCTCTTATCACCCCCAATTGTAATTCCTGCTGATTTGTCATTTTCCTGCAATAAACTTTTAAGTTCCATTGAAAGTTGAGACAGGGTTTGTCTTGTTTACCAAGGTATCCCAAGCATCTTGCACAGTGTCTGGCACATCATGCTCAAAAATATTTGAGGGGGAAAAGCTCTTCTATGACACACCAGTTTCTATATTAAATTACATTCCAACCATGTGATTGCTCTTCTACTAGATTATGCATTACTTAAAAGCAGAATCACCTGTGGTTTGTTGTATCCCCAGGGCACCTAGCACAGAGGTTGGCTCATGGTGCTTGGCAAGCGTTTGCAGAGCAGAACTGAATGAGTAGGTCCAGACTCATCTCAATGGCATGGCTCTTAAACACAAGGCACATGTGTGGGAACAAGGTGCCCTGGGTCAAGTAGGGCTACTTGGGAAAGGCTTCTGGAAGAGAAGTGCTTGGGCAGAGGTTTGAAAGAGATGAAGGATAAGGACTGGCAGGGCTACAGTGAGAAAAATCAAATGTAGGGACAGCTGGGGGAAAGCTGGGGAGGTGAAGTGCAGAGATGGCAACCATGGCTTGAATGCCAGATGGAGGGGTCTGGATTTGCTGCTACAAAGTGCTACCGTGGATTATTGAGCAATGAGCAGTGTACTGAAAACACAATTGGAGAAAGATAAGATGGACACAGAAGGACAGAAGAAGGGAATGTATTTCAGGAAGCAGAGTGCTCATTGAGGCCAGATACAGGCAGGGTGATGATAGCTGCCTCTTGGAGACACCCAAATAGACTAGATGTGGAAATAGGAGAGAAAGGAGTCAGAGATAATTTGACAGCCACAATCTGGGAAGTGAGAAATACAGAATAACAGTGCCATAAGATGACGGAACGGTGGTGGCTCATGCCTGTAATCCTAGCACTCTGGGAGGCAGAGGTGGGTGCTTCCCTTGAGCTCAGGAGTTGAAGACCAGCCTGAGCAAGAGCTAGACTCCCTCTGTACTAAAAATAGAAAAAAATGGCCAGGCAACATGGTAGGCACCTGTAGTCCTAACTACTTGGTAGGCTAAGGCAAGAGGATCGCTTGAGCCCAAGAGTTTGAGGTTGCTGTGCACTATGATGACACCACAGCACTTCACCCAGGGTGATAGAGGGAGACTCTCTCTTAAAATAAAGAAGACTGGAGGCCTGGCTTCTGTTTGATGGGAAAGACAGCAAGCTCAGCATTGGGTATCTTTAGCGTTGGGTGTCAGAGGGCCTTCCATTGAAGGCAAAAGACTCAGCCCCATGCTTTTGTCCTCACTTCCACATAGAATGTATGTTTTTTCTTGTCCCTGGACTATCCCTTCTGCCTCCATAAGGTAGGCATCCTACCTCATGTTTCTGCCCCAAGGCAGCTATTCTGACCTCCAGAATGAGCTAATGTTTCCATTCATAGAACCTCTTTTTCTGAGACAGATGTTGTTTTAGTCACTTCGCACGCATAGGCTCATCATACTCTCACAACAACACTGAAGGTTAGGCAATATCATCCCCATTTTATGAAAGTAGAAACTGAGGCTCTCCACAGGATAAGTTAACAACTCAAATTCACACAACTAGGAAGGGAGGGACCAGCATCCGTGTCCTGATCACTATAGTTCGAAAGTCACTGAGCTTCACATCACACCGTAGTGCCTCCTGCTCCTTCCCCCAACCAGGTTTAATTCCACCCAATTCAGTTTAGCAAATATTTCCTGAGTATCCACCAAGTGCAGGACACTCTGCCAGGTGGTAAGGATATAAAGAGGAATGAGACATAAGTGTAAGAGAGACAAGCACAAACTAGCTACCTCCAGACAAGTGCCCACCACTGTTCACAGTCCCAGAGAAGGACCTAATTCCATCTGGACCCAGCCTATCTGTCATTCCAGACACCAATTTTGAGTTTGGGCCATATTCACACACACACACACACACACACACACACCCCACACACAAGGACTCCCAACATATGAAAGTTGAATGGGATCTCAGAATCCAACCAACTCTTCTCACAGATGAGGCAGCCAAGGCCAGAGCCCAGAGTTGTCTTCTCCAGGCTAACATAGCTGCTCAGGGGCAGCCAGGTTCAAAGCCCAGGTGTCCTTACTCTGGCTCTGGAGCCCTGTACTCAGATGGCTCCTCTTTCCTTCACAGCTGGCAAGAAGTTCACAGTCTGGGACCCCTACTGCCACCCTTGCAGACCTTGCCCCAATTTACTAGGGCCAGAACCAGCTCCTAGGGCAGGAAGACTGGGCTAAGGGGACTGTTTGGGCACTCTTCACAGTCCCAGCCCACAGTCATCCCATGGCCAACCCTTTTTCTCCTTCTCCAGGGGAGAATGTGGGTGTAGGGGTAGAGAGATGTTGCCGCTGCAGTCCTCTGCAGTAAAGATGTGTTTCCCTAAGTAACATTTCCAGATTCCCTAAATAACATTTCTAGACTTTGAATGAGGACAAAGCTCTTTTGTCTCTCTTTATCATTATCATTTATTATTATATTATAGTGTATGAAGTGCCTTCTGTTTAAAACAGCAACCCGGAACAAGAGGAGTTTATAATACAAGGAAGGGCGAAGCACTCGGGTACTTCCATAGGTCACACTCAAAGGCAAGACCCTTCCCCAGCCTTAGTTTGTGGGGCTGACGTTCCCTTTTCTTGTTTGATCGGGTTTGAGAAATGCCTACCTCTCCCTTGAGCAGAAGTCTCCCCGCCCAGGAGAGGGTGGGTCTTGTTGCCTTGGCTACAGCGAGCTTGGGCTGAGAGGCTGCTCCGGCAGCCAATAGAAGCTGGGCGGGGACGGGGCCAACTAGGTTCTGTACAACCGCGGAGGGGCATGAAGGTTCGTGGAACAGGCGTTGGGGGAGGGGTGGGAGGGTCGCCGATGTACGGGGGTCTCAGTCCGGCCCAAGACCTCTGGGCGCAGTGGGCATTGGCCTTCGCCGTCCGATCAGCGCTCCCAGACTGCACCCAAAGTTCCAGTCGGGCCTGAGCGGGGAGGAGCTGCCAGGGCGGCAGAGGCGGAGATGGCGGAGGGCGGTGGGACGTGATGCGCGGGTCGGAGCTGGGCCTTGTGCGGGAACTGGATCTGGACCCCTAGCGGCAGTATTCCCGGGAAGCTGTCTCTGCAGGGCCTACCAGGTGGTCAATGGCGAGCCAGAGACTTGGAAGACAGGGAAAGCAGCATTTGGTGACCAGGTTTAGCAGGCCCTGGAATCCTGGAGCCCAGTCCCCAACCCCATTCCCACTTCTTAGCAAGATGGTTAAGGGGCGGAGCACGCTGCCTGTGGTGTGACCATCTTTCTTTTACCCCACTACTTATCTCTTTTCCAGGTGTCCGGTCTTGCTGGCTCAGCAAGCCTGATAAGCATGAAGCTCTTATCTTTGGTGGCTGTGGTCGGGTGTTTGCTGGTGCCGGCAGCTCTAGCCAACAAGGTGAGGGCAGGAGCACCCACCCTACCTACAGGGCTTCCTCAGAGGTAGCTGCACCTCAGGCCCTGCCCCTCAGTCACCTACAGGGTCATTCCTTTCGAGTGGGGTTCTCTTGGGTCAAGACTGCAGGCCTCCTTAAAGATGGTGTGGGGAGAAGGGTGTGCATAGAATACAGGCTCAGTCTGGATCAGACAGACCAGTGGTGAAATTCCAGCAAGGAAGTTAGGAGAAGTTATCAAAGTTCTCCGTACTGTCCTTTGCTTGGGAACAGAAGTGTTTTGCATTTTGGATATTTTCAGATTTCGAATATTTGTGCATATATATATACACACACACACATATGAGATATATTGGGGATGAGGCTCCAAGTCTAAACGTGAAGTTCATTTATGTTTCATATACATCTGAAGCACATAGCCTGAAGGCAGTTTTATACCATATTTTAAATAATTTTGTGCATGAAACAGTTTGTATACACTAAACCATCAGAAAGCAAAGGAGTCATTATCTCAGCCTTTCAGTTAGGACAATCTGTGGTTGTTTGGCATCACGGTCGTTTCTGACTCCAGGTTTATGTGCTACCAATTAAGTGGTCACTTACTTACACTTACTCACATGTAAGTACTTAGGGGTAAAAACTATAAGTTAACCATCAATGCAGTAAAAAAGTAATGTGTTTGAGATAACTAAGCAGCGCAGTAGCATCATGTGAAAACCTGTGCCAGCTATTAAACAACAGCATCAGCAAACTACAGCAGGTTTCAGTCTCTACCTATGGTCCAGCAAGCCTGATAAGCATGAAGCTCTTTATTTTATTTTATTTTTGAGACAGAGTCTCACTCTGTTGCTCCAGGCTAGAGTGCCCTAGCATCATAGCTCACAGCTACCTCACACTCCTGGGTTCAAGTGATCCCCTTGTCTTAGTCCCTCAACTAGCTGGGACCATAGGTGCCCTCCACCATACCTGGCTAATTTTTCTATTTTTAGTAGAGATGGGGTCTTTCTCTTGCTCAGACTGGTCTTGAACTCCTAAGCTTAAGGGATCTGCCCACCTTGGCCTCCCAGAGTGTTAGGATTACAGGGATGAGCCACCTCGCTTGGCCACATGTATTTTTTTAGAAGCATCAGAGGTGTTTGAAGGGCCAGGAAGGCCCTCTAGGGATGAGGGGGCAAGCTATTCTGCCAAATTGCTTTTTAAAATGTTTACTCCAGAGTCATCTACCTCATTAAAGTGGCTTTTGCCTTAGAAGTTTTCCTTTGATTTTATAACTAACATGGTTTTTCGTTCTGTTAGAAATGCATGCTGCTATAGTCCTTCAGTAAGTCCATCACACATTTTCACCATTTCTGCAGTGTTACCATCTTAATGGTCATGTTGATGCTCAAAAAGTTTTAGATTTTGGAGCATTTCAAGTTTTCAGATTAAGTGCTCAAGCTGTAGTAGTGGTTATATCTGTTACTCGAGTAGAATCAAATTACACAGCAATGTAAAAACTATCTGTAAGTATAAAGTCCTATACGATTGAAGTTTTGTTATTGGGTTGACCTCCCTAAGTGCTGGGATTCCTTAGATAACTTCTATTCTTTAGGGGTAAATGACCTGGAGCTACATTGATTGGTTTATGGACTTTGGAGAGTCTAAAATCACCAAGGCTTTGACACAAGATTAAGTCTGGGGGTTTGCTTCTATTCCCTACACAGAATTACTAATTGGAATATAAACATTTATGGTGTTGTCTCTTACCCATTTCAGAAGGGAAGAACTTTCAAAGGGGTTGCTTGAGTATTTCCATGGAAATCATTCACTTTTCCTTATTTCTACCCCCCATCCCCCAGTCCTAACATAAGAAGTTGGACATGGAATGAGGGGATGAGGCTAGCTGCCAAGGCCATTTAACAGAGGTGCACACACAAGCGTGGGGTCCAGTGTAGGGGACTGTTGCCTTTGCTTGCCTCCCCTCCTATCCCTGTCCTATGTTAGCACTACACTTAGGGAATGACAGCCCTAGGAAGCTTTCTTTGTATCTTATTTGTCACTTGGACTTTTCTGTTTTGAGGACCCTGTGATATAGTATCCTTCCTGCAGAAGCGATCCTTGCTGAACTTGGGGATAGGGAAGACTCAAGAGCATATATAAGGTTACCTAATAACACAGGGAACTGAAAGTTGGCAGCCTTGCTAGAACCTGAACCCAGGCAGGGGCTCTGTATACCTCATATATCTTTTCTCTTCCAGAGTTCTGAAGATATCCGGTGCAAGTGCATCTGTCCACCTTATAGAAACATCAATGGGCACATTTACAACCAGAATGTGTCACAGAAGGACTGGTAAGGCATTACCCATGGGCTGGCCCTTGGCTGCTTGTTTATCCTCTGAGGATATTCCAGTTTATTCTAGCAAATGCCCTTGAAGGTATGGGTTTACTACTTGGACCCCAGACTATAGGTATGTTCTTCCATTTCCATGGAGAATCTTCCAAAGGTATATTTTGTCCATGGTCACAGAACCAATTCCATGGTCAGCATCGACTGTATCAGGACCTACATGTCTTAAATTCAAGCTAAAGTGTTCCTGGTCAGAGTAGTAAATTTTTTTGTTGTGCTTTGAATTTTGGTCTTTAGTGATATATACTAAATGGTGGTAGAAAAGTTAGGAGAGGTAGGTGTTACAGCCATATACTGTGGGATGCTCAACGCTTTTGCAAAGCTCTGTTACCTGTGTTACTCAGTGTCAGTCTCCCAGCAGCTTTGTAAGACAGATGGAATGAGTATCATTCCCATTTTATAACTGCAGAGACTGAGGCCCAGAGAAAGATTTCAATTATATTCCTGGAGTCTTGAATTCATTTCTGGGTGTTTCACTTTTAAAAAGAGAACAATAACCAAGAATTCATTTAGAAAAAGGAAAGCAGCTTGGTGAAGGGAAGTTTCAACACATTGTCTTGGAATGAATTATTTAAGGAGCTGAAGAGCTTGAAGAGGAGAGGAAATGGGGACATAACAATGGTTGACCAAGACCCAGAGGAGGGCTGGCGTATTATGGGAGGTGGGGCCCATGGGGGGCCAGTGCTTGTGAAGATTATTTATGTTCATTGTGTTTTCTTGGTGTAGAATTGGAGCCATTGCATGAAAGCTTCAGGGAAACAGACTTAAGCATGGGTCAAGGGAGCATTGCTAATCTAGGCAGTTTCAGGAGTTGGAAAGCCCCATCCTAAGGGAGAGCTGAGCACAGACAAGGTGAGGTACTGTAGAAGGGATTAACATTGGATAGGGGTATCTGGGCCAGTGTTGCTGCTACTTGGTATATGTTGGGATCATCAGGTGAGCTTTGAGAACATACAGATTTTCAGCACTGCCCCCTCCAGATTTTTTTTTCTTTTTGAAGACAGTCTTGCTCCATCACCCCAAGTAGAGTGTAGTGGCTTCATGATAGCTCACAGCAACCTCAAATTCCTGGTCTCAGCCTCCCAAGTAGCTAAGATCAGAGATGTGCTCTGGCACACCCACCTAGTTTCTCTATTTTGCGTAGAGACCGGATCTCTGTCTGGCATAGGCTGGCCTCAAATTCTGACCTCAAGTGATACTCCCACCTGAGCCTCCCAGAGTGCTAGGATTATAGGCATGAGCCACCATGCCCAGCCTCCCCTTTCAGATTTTGATTCAGCAAATATTGGCATGTGTGGGGGGATAACTTTTTCTTAAAGTTCTTAAGGTGCTTGTGATGCAGTTGATCCTGAGCAATAGTTGAAGTTTGAAACTAGCTGAATTTCCAACTCTGAGATTGAGATTTTCTGAGAGGCAGTCTAGTTAGATATAAAGACTCTGGATCCAGCTTTCCTGGCTTCACATCTAGCTTTGTCATTTGTTAATTGTGTGACAGATTACTTCATTTACTGTTTCTCCACTGTACTTTTGATTTCCTTATCTGTAAAATGGAGCATTATTTTGAATGTTAAGTAAGTATATGGATGTATGTGTTGTACATGTGCACACACACAAGCAAATCTAGCACTTAGAACGATACCTGGCATATAGTTAAGTGGTACAGAAATGTTAGCTGATGGTATTAATATGTATTATCATGCCTTACACAGGCTGCACAGATAATCACGGTCAAACTTACACCATAGCCCAAGAAAACTTGGGCTTCTCTTTTCAAAGCACTAGCCTGTTTCCTTCCACTCTAACTAGTCTGATAGATTTCCAAAGTCCTAAAATTTGAAGGCTTGGGAGGAACCCTAGTGACCTCCTTGTGTCTTGTGGTCATGGTTCATATGGCATCAGTCAATATACTGATGGGGTCTCCTACCCCTGCCCCAGATAACAAGTTTATATCCCATGCCCCTTGTGTAGGCAGGTGCTGGTGGCTGCCGTAGCACTCTCTGTCCTAGAATTATAGCCTAGAAACCCAAGCTTGGTTGCCCCCAAAGAATGGAGTCCTATCTAGACCTCAGGCTATAGTTCATCTTTTTCTTCCACATAGAAGTCAGAATTGGAGGGCTGTCTAATGAACAAACTTATATCAGAACCTCAAGGCAGTTCCCTCAAGGGTGAGTGGGTATAAACCATGGTTGGGAAGAAAAACTCCAGGACATTTATCTTGTCCCGGAGTCACTGCATGCTTGCATGGAGCTCTTAAAGTGTGGAATGGAGCCTTGACTTTGGCCTTGATCTTAGCACCTCAGTGCTAGGCCAGTTTGAATGAATCTTCAGGTCCCTCCCACATTTTTCACTCTGGTAGCGCATTTGCAGAGAGAACACTTGTCCCCTTCCCCAGCTGAGCCGCCATCCTCAGATGAGTGGCCAAGTCACCTATGTTCTGTGCTGCTGGTACTCTGCCATCTAGCGTTAAGGGTTTATAACCACAGATGCAGCCGTTTTTCCCCATGGGTGGGTCTGGCAGCAGAGGTACAATAGACAATTCCAGAGCAGGAAGGAACTAAATAAGTTGGCTAGTTCCTTACCTTTCAAACTTGTTAAAATAAAGCACTTCTATAAACAAAAGCTGTTTTGGAAACACAAAACATGTAGAACATGGAATCAGAATTGCTCTGGCTGAGAGGGAAGCATCTTATATCCCATCCTTCACCACCACTGTCCCGCACCATGGTTTCTGTGCTACCTAGAAAAGCACAATCATCAAGTTCATCCCAGAGAAGTTAAAATATGTAGAATAAGTAGAGGAGCAGAGAATTAAGCCCAGTTTTTAACTCTCTTCCCTTGGTGACCCCTCTTAGTCCACAAAGTCCTAATATCACTGGTCCCCGAAAGGTAAATGGGAACACTTAGGAGAACAAGAACTTGTGTCCTTGGGTTTCACCGATTCCCAGGGGAGCTTAAGACAACTATTTCAGCTCCTTATTGCTGTTCTCCCTCCCCCTCCTCCTTCCAGCCCATTCCTCTGCATAACAGGATCCCCAATTGAAGAACTCAGCTTGGCCTTTCCCAGCTGCTCCTGACACCACATTTTGGCCTGTGGCAAGTCCACAGACCCCACTCCGCCCTGGAATGACCTTCCACACCCAGGACTCAATGTGGCTCAGGGTAGGGAGGAATCTGGTCCCCAGGAGGCTTGTAGAGACTTGCTGGAGAAGGGAAGGTGGCACTCCCTCTGGACAGTAGTGACAACTAAGTACATGTATGACCCTGGCCTTGTCTGTCAGCTCCTTGCAATGTACAAGTCCTGAAAGCATTACTTACAACAGGGGAGACCTTCATGGCGGGGGGGAGCAAGGGTTAGGCACATTTAGATATGCCACATCCTGGAGTCTTAAGGGAAGCAAAGTTTTCCCTAAAGGGACATCCTTGGTGCTGCCAGAAACCCAGCCCTGTAGCTCAGATGAACAGCCCTTGTTAGGCGAGGGTGGGCTAAGTGAGCTTACTCTTAGGACCTATAATTGATGTTTTTACTGAGGCCTTCTCTGGCCAGCACGTGCTGGGCACCAGGAACATGGGATTGTGTGAGGTATGACTGGCCCCAGTGCATTGTGAAGAGGTGGTGGCCCAGAGGAGATGAACACAGGTATCTGGCCATCAGGGAGGGGACAGAGCTCAGAGCTGAGTCTTCTGAATGGAAATCCCGGGCTGGGCAGCAAAGCTGTGCATTTCTGACAAGGATGTGGAATGTGGCACATTTAGAGACCAGTCTAAGAATCAGTCACTGGGGCTGGGTGAGGCAGGGTGGCAGGTGGTGGGCTGGAGTGAGGCAGGCTGGAACCCCATGCAGAGCAGCTGAATTAGCCCTTGCCATGGGGGCTCTGTGGAGGCACTGGCACAACCAGAGTTTTCTTCTGGTGAGATCACTCAGCTGCTGTGTAAAGATGTTGTGTGTTCGACAGGGTCAAACTAAGGCAGGAGGGCAGCAGGGAGGCTGGGTTGGATGTCCAGGGGAAACATGGTGAGGGCCTTCTCTAAGACTCAGTGGTACAGGAAATAAGGAGAGTGGATTTTAGGAATTTCTAGGGAAGTAAGTTCACTGGCACTTAGTGGTGGGCTCATAGATGAGAGAAAAAGGAGTGTCAAAGATGATTCCAGGGCTGACTTGGCCAGCTAAGTGGATGGTGGAGGTCTTCTCTCTGCCACTGAGAATACAGAGCCAGCATGTGGGACTAGGGAGTCAGGGCAAAGGGTATGCCGGGGTGAGGGGGAAGTTTGTGGTCCCTGTGGGATGTCGGGTGAGTGGGAAGTTTGTAGTCCCTGTGGGATGTCGGGTGAGTGGGAAGTTTGTAGTCCCTGTGGGATATCAGGTGAGTGGGGAGTTTGTCCCTTTGGGACATGCTGGATGGATCCTATAGGCACCTGGCTATGAGTCCAGCTCTTAAGAGAAGAGAGTGCCTGACTAGAGATCCTAATCTAAGACCCAGCAGGTTCTGAGTTGAACCTCTGGGGTGGATGTGCCACCCAGGGAGAATATAGCGTGAAACAGGAAGGCAGCAGAAGGCACAGATTTAGGGAAGGTTGGTGGTTGTGAGGCCAGCACTGTGGGCAGTTGGGAGAGTCCTAATGGCCAGGTGCTTGGGCTGGGAGGGGCTTCTGGCAGCCTGACCCTTTATGAACCCTGTGTTCTCCCTGGAGGCACCCTTCACCTGTGTCCTACTCCTGCCTCTCACCTCCCCAGGCCTCCTGCTTCTGGTCTTGAGGTTTTGAGACCTTCCTGCAGCCCAGTCCCCATGGCCTGTTTGTGTCTGTTGCAGCAACTGCCTGCACGTGGTGGAGCCCATGCCAGTGCCCGGCCATGACATGGAGGCCTACTGCCTGCTGTGCGAGTGCCGGTACGAGGAGCGCAGCACCACCACCATCAAGGTAATGCAGCTCTCGGGCCCCGGAGTCCCTGCGTGCCATCTCCCTGGCCCTGCCTGTCCTACACATATAGTATTTTACTTTATTCTGGAATATTCCAAATGACTGTGGGACTGGCTTTAAGGCTGGCCTAGTGCAGACACAAGGACTCACGTCCCATGCCTTCCTGGAACTGGCTTTCTTCTCTGGTGTTTTTCCAGTGGCTCCCATTACACCTAGCACCCTGGGAAAGCTCCTCAAGACTCCTTTTTCCCTCTGTTCTTTCCAGTTTTTTCCCTTTCTCTCTTCTTGTTCCTCCAATAAATCTCTTTTGAGTGGCTGCTCCCTTCTGGGTACATGTAGTATGCTGCAGGTGGAAAGGTAAGCCTGCCTGCCCAGAGCTTAATCCAAGTAAGTTCTCAAAGTGCCGTCTAACTCCTCTAAAAGGTGTCAGAGCTATGGGCCAGGGCTGGGTTTTGAGTGCTGGGGTCCTGACGCTGAGAGGGGCATCAGATTGTCCTTTGGGTTTATTCCTGAACCTTTATGTCATTAGTCAATTTGGTGAGTTCAGGAGAGAAATAGTAGACACAGCCACCGCAAAAGGAGAGAGGAAGACACCACGGGGTCCTTATCCATTTCCGGGGTCCTGATCCATTCCTCTACCCCAGGCAGGGCTTGACTAGGCCTCGTAGAAGCTATGATGCCGCCCTAGTAGAGACTCTGCTGTCCCCTGAGCCTCACAGTGGTCTCTTAGTCCAGGTTCTTAGCATCCTGGGCCAGGCCATGCTCACTGATGCCTAACAGTGCTAGTTTTTGAGCCTGTTCTTGCTTATCCTTTGAAGAATGTGGAAATAGCATCAGAAAAGAATCATCATGAATTTAAAGACACCACTGAATCCTCTATCACAGTGGTTCTCAACCTTCCTAACGCTGCATCCTTTAATACAGTTCCTTGTGTTCTGGTGACCCCAAGCATAAAATTATTTTCGTCGCTCCCATAATTTTATTGTTGGAGGTCACCACAACATGAGGAACTGTATTAAAGGGTCACAGCTTGAGAACCAGCTCTATCAGGTTTCCTCTTCTGAGGCACATTTGGAGGGAGAGTGGTCATCACTGCTGTCCTTCCCTGCCTGCAGCAGGGAGCCCTGTACTATGGTTCCTCTGTCCTCACCATGTAGGCAGAAAGCAGCTGTCTCTCCCCTCACGCAGGTACCGCCCTATCCAATTGTGCAGAATGAGTTTCTTTTATCCTCCCGCCAGAGGTAACCCCTCCGGGAGCTTCCTTCTTTGAATTTGCTCCAATGGATCCCACCTTCTGGAGACCAGATGCCTGAGACCTTAATTTCAGAGCTAGATGTCACTTCTCCCTGTTTGGCAGGGAAGGGCCTTCCCAGCACGGAGACCTCATCAGATACCACTTCCTAATCTCTCATGTTTCCCTCAAGTCCTTCTACTCAGGAGACACCCCCCACCCGCCTTAACTTCAGCATAGTAAAGACTCAGCCTCCATTCTCCTTCCCTAGGGTGTAGGGAGAGGGATCTGAGTCTTCATGCTGTTTAAAAAGGCATAAGTGGCCGGGTGTGATGGCTCATGCCTGTAATCCTAGCACTCTGGGAGGCTGAGGCAAGCAGATTGCTTGAACTCAGGAGTTTGAGAGAAGCCTGAGCAAGAGCTAGACCCTGTCTCTAAAAATAGCCAGACATTGTGGCAGGTGCCTATAGTTCCAGCTACTTGGGAAGCTGAGGCAAAAGAATCCCTTGAGCTCAAGAGTTTCAGATTGCTGTGTAGCTAAGGCATTACAGCCCTCTACCAAAGGCGACCAGATGAGACTCTGTCTCAAAAAACAAAAAAAAAAAAGAAAAAGAGGCATGAACACTGGTGCTTCAGTCAGGGAGAAGGTTGGTCCAGTTGAACTTGCCAGTGGTTCTAAGCTGAGCACCAAACTTGAAGGTCTCCTTTTTCTCACCCCCTCTTCACAGTCAAGGGAGGGCCAGGCCTGGGATCAGGAGCCAATGATGGCCAGGCTTTAGGGAAGCAGAAAAAGCATTTGAGATGGAGTCACCAAATCTGGGTTCAGGTTACACCTCTACCATTTACAAGCCTTGGGGTCTAGGGTGAGTTCTTTTCAAACAGGTGATTTCTATCCCCCAAGGGGCATTTAGAGGTGAGCAAAGGTACTTTTGTGGTCCCACTAGTTGAGGTGCAGAAGCTGCCTGCCCCATCTGTCCTGCACTCCACAGTGGGTAATGAGCCTGCCACCAGGTCTGTCCTCCCCCTTGCCTCCTGGCCTCTCCACCTAGTTCTTCCTTGCTCTTAGTTTCTGATGCCCTTCTACCCTTTGTTCTGGACTCTTCTGTAGCCAGGCAGGCCCTGTTTCTGCACCCCCACCCCTAGGAGCCTGTTGTGTCAGGCTCCAGACGTCTGCCCTCTCATCTGTCTACTGCCTTGATTCTTGCTCTTTGGGCTCTCTCGGGTTAAGACAGAGCCCATCTGTCTGAGGAGTAGGGCCCTCCCTTTTCCTTCCTGGCGCTCTTTCCCTCCAACCTACGTCACCTCCTACTCCTTTCTCAGAGAGGCACTTTAGGAAGAGCAGCCAGCAGAGCACAGATGGCACCAGGATAGACATACTTTTCCCATCCCTGACCCAGGATGTTGGTTCACAGCTGTGGCGGGTCTCCTCCCCAGGTCATCATTGTCATCTACCTGTCCGTGGTGGGTGCCCTCTTACTCTACATGGCCTTCCTGATGCTGGTGGACCCTCTGATTCGAAAGCCGGATGCGTACACTGAGCAACTCCACAATGAGGAGGAGAATGAGGTAACTGGGGCTCTGGGGCCAGGGCCCTGCTCCCAGGATGTGAGTCCCCAGTGCAGGACCCAGGGTGGCACCTGTGGCTCAGTGGGTAGGGTGTTGGCCCCATATACCGAGGGTGGCGGGTTCAAACCTGGCCCCAGCTGAATTGCCAGGCGTTGTGGTAGGCGCCTGTAGTCCCAGCTACTCAGGAGGCTCAGGCAAGAGAATCACTGAAGCCCAGGAGTTGGAGGTTGCTGTGAGCAATGTGACGCCATGGCACTCTACCAAGGATGATAAAGTAACACTCTGTCTCTACCCAGAAAAAACCAGTGCAGGACCCAGAAGAGCATCACTTGGGCCCAGGTGGGGTGGGTGTCTCCTCTGCTCTCATTTCTGTGCTCCAGGTTGCTCTCCTCCTGTTCAGATGAAGCAGGAGGTGGCCCTGGCTGTCACTGACCCTGGCCTCATTGCACACTGAGTGAGCCGTGTCTTCCTTCATGCCGTGTGTCTAGGCAGTGGGAAGAGAACCCATCAGGGCCACTCACATGTAGTGGTAGATACACATAATACCCTGTTGTTCAGACACTGGTGATAAGCTGGTGGGATACTTGGAAGCGGCAGATTTATTCTTTTGTTCACTGATCCCACAAGCATCTGTTGAGCACTTGCTCAGTTCAAAGCACAGCCCTGGGGTCTTGAGGGAAAAGCAGGATTTCAAGAGCGAAAAAGGAGTAAGGTAGATAGTGGTGCCATGTAGGGGGCCTCACTATATATGTGTGAGGGATTTTGAGCATTTCAAGGATAAAGGTAGGCCTGTAGGAGTAGGGGCAAATAGAGCTGGCCAGTAAGTGTGGGCCAGATTATCACAGGCCTCAGATGTCAAGCTAAAGGTTTTGGCTTTATTCAATAAGGAAGGTGGGGAACCACTGACGTCAAAGAGTTACAGACACCGTAGAGAGGAAACTAGGGTGGGATGGAAGGGCATAGCTGAAGAGCTCCTCATGGGAGCAGGAAGGGGCGTGCACTGTGGTGATGGGATGAGCCGGCATGCTCCCTAGGAGAACAGAGGAACCTCCTTGCCGAGTGAAGACTGATAGTCCCTTGTGCCTCTCTCTCCCTCACACACCGGCGCAGCAGCCAGCTGGCTGTAGGAGACTCAGGGTACCTAGCAGGTTTGCCAGCAGGGCGGACTGCTCCAGGCTGCAGCAGCCGAGGCACACGGGCTCACTGTTGCTTCTGCTCCAGTGAGCTTTGTGCCTAGGGCCTTGCTGCTGGAAGACCCTCTGTTTAGCCATGGAATGAGCGAGGCCTTCCGTGATGTGTCCAGAGGAGCAGCTAAAGGGGAAGTGTCTCAGCCGAATCCTGGGAGAATTAGTTGAAGAACCTGAGAGATGTTTAGCTTGTGGGGGATAAAACCAACTCAAGGAGGCACATGATCACTGCCTTCAGAAATTTGTAGGAGCAAGCTTAGCCTCACCCAGGGACAGAGGACCCACAGCTGGGACTTAGAGGGGAAGATTTAATAAACTAGAAGAGGAATCTTCTTGCTGACCGTGTGATCTAAGGATGGAGCAGGTGGGTTCCCTTGCAAGGTCATGAGGACCTCTTTTTCCCACCAAAAAGAGAATGTAGGGCTCAGGTCTTCTGTGTGAAGCTGCCAAGGGGACATGGATCTGGGCTGGCAGAACAGAACAGGTCAGGTCAAGGAGGAAGCTCTGGCTGTTCCCACCAACCCTGTTGTCCCTTCTGTGTATAGGCCTGGGCTGTTTCCAGTCTGCCCGAGGCTACCAGCTAGTGTGAGTTTGGTCAAAGGTGGAGCTGAGGGATTCAGCCTTGCCCTGTTGGAGCTGGGGCCTGGGTGGCGGTGGCGCTGGCCGTTGGGTGGTCTGTGTTCAAGAGGAAACCTTGCATGCCTACCTGGTTATTAATGTAGAGTAATAGCAGCTCTGATAGGGGAGGAGCATCGCTAATAAACACCCAGCGATTAGGGGTAATGTGGTAATTGTAGTCCTGGCTGGGGGAGTAATTGAGAGATGCAGCCTGATGATTTTCCTGGAATGCATGGCTCTCGGGCACAGCCTTGTCATCTCTACTGCCGTCCTAGCTATGGAGCCAGAGGGAGGGCAGCTTGCCATCTCAGGGTCTGAGCCCAGGCCTCTCTTTACCCCAGGAGACTCCCACTTAGAGCTTGTATGAAGGGTTTTAGGGAATAAGGAGGGGTTAGCTTTGGTCAGCCCATTTCCCAGAGGCGGAACTTGAGTCAGAGTGGACGTTGATTTCCTAGGTTCAGGTTTTGGCTCAGGAAGGAGGACTTTCTAAGGAGGGTGACTTGGAGGGCAGTCGACTATAACAGGTGGCACTCAACACTGAAGCTGGCAAGGCCACCTCTGTTTTATAGAGGAGATTCCTGCCCTGGGCGGACAGGATGATACTGCCTCATCTCCCACCCCGAGGTTCTAAAAGGTCATAAACATGTTCAGTTTCTTGGATACCTGGATCCGAGGTGCAGCAAGCTCTGGCTGATTGAGGGCCGTGGCGGGAGGATCTCATCATGCCCTTGGGATGGGTAAGGAAATGCCCTCTAGTCCCTCATTTGATATCCCCTCTTCATCCCTCATCTCCTGGGATTCTATATAGTATCCCTGTCACAGGTACCTGTGGTTTAGCAGCTCCGCTTCTCCTGCTATATTCAGAAATGCTGCAGGTGGCACCGTGCTGAGATTTGCACAGGCCTTGTGTCTGCCCTCAGGGGTATAAGCTTCAAGACAGCCAAAGCCAGGTAAATGAGTAGGGACCATAAAGGCCTGCAGTAAGGTCCAGCCTTGTGAGGTAGGTGGTCAGGTGAGGAAACTGGATGGATGCTTGGGAGGCTCCTTCCCATTGGACAAGGGCTGGGGAAGTTGTCTTTGTGCTTGTCTGAGGAGAGATTTCTGGCAGAGAGGGATTTGCAGAGGCAGCTTCAGATGGATGGGAAAGTGACAGGCAAACTGCTACAGGGAGGGTGGACAGGGTACCGGGGTACACACAGCCCAAGCAGCTGGTCTTTACAGAGACTGAGGCCCTAGTCCTGCATGGTGAGGGGTAATCTGCTGGCCCGCTCCACTCCGTGCACAAGGAAAGGAAATGTGGGGAGACTTGGGATTGGGGGGCAGGGAGAGAGTGGTCATAGGCCCCTAGCTAAGCAGCAGCAGAGCCAGAGCTGTAGCCATATGTCTGGGTTTATTAATGGTCTAGAGAGTATTTTCCTTAAGAAAGAGGCTATAACCTCAACACTTTGGGAGGCTGAGGAGGATCACTGGAGTTGGAGACCAGCCAGGGCAACATAGGGTAACCCTGTGGCTAAAAAGAAAAAAACTTAGCTGGGTGCGGTGGTGGATACCTGTAGGCCCAGTTACTCAGAAGGCTGAGGTGAGAGGATCACTTGAGCCAAGTGTTTGAGGCTGCAGTAAGCTGTGATTGTGGCATTGCACTCCATCCTGGGTGACAGAGCAAGACCCTATCTCCAAAAAAAAAAAACCAAACAAACAAAAGAAAAAGAAAAAAAAGACAAGACCATGTCTTCCCTGGGCTGGAGGGATTTAGTTTTCACCACAAGACCCAAGAAGCACAAAATTGGAACAGCCTCTCAGGGTTCCTTGAAAGAACACCTAGACCTGCACAGCTAGGTGACTTTAGAAGCAAAACAGTATCTAAGCTCCAGAGGTTTCCAGACCCCTTAGAAGTCAGAGGTGAGATAAGGAGGTCAGAGATTTCTCAGGGTTGGGGGCTCCTTGGCTCCCGTGGCTAGGAGCTCTCTTGCCCTGGAGGTGGAGGACTGGAAGAGGAGCTCTCTTGCCCTGGAGGTGGAGGACTAGAAGAGGAAGGGGAGGCCTCCCCCGCAGCCTCAGCCTGAGTCCGTGGAGGGAGATGAAAGCCTGTCGTGTTCCCTTTGAAAGCGCTGGCAGAGCCTCAGTGGACCCAATTGCTGAGTGCTGCCTCCCCTGGGATTCCAGCCGCATTAGGCCTAATCCCTGGGCTCAGACACCCTTTGAAAGGAGGAAGCAAGCTTGTTTGCTGGGGCAGAGACGGCAAACAGAGCTGTTTTAGATGTGCAGGTTGGACCCTCTTTGAAGAGAGACATAGAGCTGCTCTGAGGCTCGGATGTCTGCTGCTCACAGGGGTCTTCAAAGTGCTTACCCTCCCGGGGAGGTAGGCAGAGTTCTGAGCCCTCTTTGGGAGACGATGTGCCAGGGAATTAAGGAAAGAGGATGGTGATGTGGGAACTGGAAAACACATAGGTACTAGGGAGAAGAGAAGACTCAGACCACCGAGGCATGATCTCCCTTCCTCTCTGAGGAGGGATGCGCAGCTGTGAGCTGAGGGCCCTGGCCGAGGGGAGCTGACAGTGAAACACAAGGGCAGTTCAGACAGCTGCCTCTCCCCTGAGGACAGGACAGAAAGGTGGGTGATTCAATAAACATTTCCAGAGCTTCTGTTCGGGCCAGCACAGCACAATAGTTAGGCACATAGCTTTGGAATCACCGTCCCAGGTTGAAGTCGAGCTCTGCCCCTTAACCATCCACGGTGCTAGCTTCATGGTTTAGTTTTCTAAATCTGAAATGGGCATAATCCTTCACACCTCCACATACCTGTTGGGATAGTAGGTGTGGGAGCTGTACAGGTGTTTGCTTGTCCTTACAAATGAGATATATCTTGGGCCTTAACACGTAAGCAGTGTTCAGGTTGCTGCAGGGAAGACTGAGGGGCAGCACAGGTAGAGAAAGGACAGATAGACAGTCAGACAATGGGGCAAAGGGTAGATGAGGCTGGGGATGTACAGCTCAGCCAGCCCAGAGGCTGCTATGTGCAGCAGGGTGTTATCTGTAAGCTACTGTGTCACCAGCCACAGTTTTTGAGCAGGGGAATGGCATGATTTGGGCTGTCCCAGGAAAGTGACTCTGGCAGCAAGAGGCAGTAGCATGTAGGTCAGGGTGAACCTCAAAGCAGAGGGACAGTCAGATTTGGCTAAGTGGGAAAGATTTGGGTTAAACTTGGAAAACTCAAAGAGACTGTGTATTCCCCTTGCTAACGGGCCATTCTTTGCGAGTTGCTGGTAAGTGACTGTCTGGTCCTACTCCTGTGCCTGGGATGGGAGAGAAGGGGCAGCCAGAGAGGGAAGAGCACATGAGGCGGGTTCTCTCTTCCCTTCGTCTCTTTGTCATCAGAGAGACTTAACCCCAGGCTAGTGCCAACACAGAACCAGGGCTTCTGGGCAGGCTAAAGAGTGTTTCATCTGGGTAGCTTGGTAGCCTCCAGGGTAGTTTATCAGTTCAGGTTTATTCTCACAGATATCGGGGTTCTGCCAGGGCTAGAGAGAAAGGCCTTGCTTGATGTTCCTGGCACCCAGGTCCTTTACAAGTGCTTAGTTCTGCTCTAACCTTCGGGACTTCTTTGGTTGTCCCTGTTGGCTGTCTCTCTTTTTTTTTTTTTTTTAAGAATTTATTTATTTATTTATTCATTTATTTATTTTTTGAGACAGAGCCTCAAGCTATCCCCCTGGGTAAAGTGCCATGGCATGACAGCTCACAGCAACCTCCAACTCCTGGGCTCAAGCGAGTCTCCTGCCTCAGCCTCCCAAGTAGCTGAGACCACAGGCGCCCGCCACAACGCCCGGCCATTTTTTGGTTGCAGCCATCATTGTTGTTTGGCGGGCCCAGGCTGGGGATTCGAACCCTCCACCTTAGGTGTATGTGGCTGGTGCCTTAGCTGCTTGAGCCACAGGCGCCGAGCCTGTTGGCTGTCTCTTAAGGGAGAGTTTTAGGATAAGAGCTAAGTCTGGTGGGCTAGTGGCTTTCCAGGTGCCTCCTCAGGGTCCAGCTCATCTAGATGGCCAAGCGAGAACAGCGAAAGAAAGCCCCAGTGGAGTCCTAGCGTAAGAGCTGTGCAGACTTGGGTTCAGAATCTGACTTACTGTGCAACCTTAGTAGCAGATGACTCACCTTTCAGGAACTTCAGCTCCCCCATCTACAAGAAGGGGATGATATTACCCATTTGCCAGGTTTATGAACCTGGGAATAATCCACATAAATGTCTAGCAGAGTGCCTGGTACATAGTGGCACTTGTCATGCTGATCTGGTCCCCCGGGGAACCCATGCACATCAGAGGTCTTTCCCCTGCTTGGCAGGGGCTTTACCCAACACCTCTCCTAACTGGCTCTTTGCCTCCCTGGGTCCCAGAGACCCAACCTCAGAGGGGAAGGGTAGGGAGTGGTGATTGGATTTCTCCTGCTTCTCCCCGCATCCTGCCACAGTACCAGCAAGGATGAGGCCCCACTCTGGGCCGTCTCTAGAACAGATGTGGAGTCTCTAATACCTTTTAATCAGACTATTAGCAATGGAAACAGAGCCTCTCAGCAACAGCTTTCCCCCACTTAGGAGCTGTTTGTTAAGACTTTACATGAAGGGGAAACAAATGATACTGTGGTAATGTGGTGAATTTCAGCATGTTCCCTTAATGCTCTGCTCTTGGCTCTCCCTGGCTTCCCCTGAGATGCACAGCAGGAGAAGGAGGGCAGGGCTGAGACTGTCCCTCCCCTCCTAGCCAGGCATCCTTCACTGGGCCCTATCATGAGGACTCTGGTATCAGAAAGGATGAGATAGGACATGGGGAGGAAACAGAACTGTTCCAGCCCCCAGAGCCAGGATGGCCAAGTCCAAGTGGGCCAGCGGCTTCCCAGGTGTCTCTTCAGGGCTCAGCTCATCTAGACTGCCACACAGGAGCAGAACTGGGTGGAGGCTTGTCCTTAGCACTGTGGTAGATGCAGCCCAACTAAAAGGTAGCACAGCAGCTGTGGTGAGTTTTCACAGGTGCTCCCCCTGGCAGTGGGCTGTTGGCTTTCCAGCCCTTTCCGCTGCCTACTCGGTCCCAGCACTAGGGCTGATGACAGTAACCACTGCTGTTTGCTTACTGTCTGCCAGGTGCTGCTAAGGCATTACGTTCAGTGTCTCATTGAGGAGATGCCTCTTTAGTCTTCGCCTCATAGACTGGGAACTAGGTTCAGAGAAGATGGTAACTTGCCCAAGGTCACATATCTGGTAGAGGTCAGAGCCAAGATTCAAAGCTAGATTTGTTTGACTCCAGAGTTTTCTTAAGTGCTGTGCTCAGCTACCAGGAGGGAAACTGAACATTTCTTGAGCTCCAGCTCTGTGGCAGCCGTGATAGCAAGTGCCTTACATATATCATCTGACTTGGCCACAGCCCCTCTACTGATCATAAAGCAGTGTATTTCAAGCTGGGTCACAGCCCGTTAGGTCATGAAATGAATTTTGTGGGTCATGACCAGGACTTATAAAAGATGAAATGGAAGAGTGCAGAGAATATCAGACGGCATCATACTAAATACTGTTTCCCAAAACTTCTTTGTGCCATGTGTGCATGTATACGTGCATGCATATTAGATTGTCTGATAACTAAAATAACAATATAGTGACAATATAGTGAGAAAAAGTCTCAAAGATTGGATTTGTCCCATTGAAGCTTGGAGAAGTAGTCACTTGTCCTGAACACACTGCTGCTCAGTGGCTGAGGTGCCTACTCCCAGCTTCTACTGTAGACCTGGCGTTCCACCTGTGAAATGGACCTAGGGCGTCTAAGGCCCTAGAAGCGGTGGGTCACCAGCCCAGCCATAGAGCCCAGGAGTCCCAGTGGCACCTGCCTGATCCCCCATATCTGCTTCTCAGGTATCACCTAATCTTCACCTAGCCTGGCAGAGGAGGCCTTCCCCAGGGGCTAGACAGGAGGCTCCCAGAGGACAGTGTCCATCTGACTCACCTTTAGAGATGAGTGTTCACAAGATGAAAGACTAATTACCCAGAGCCGCAAGGTTGATGGACCCCCACCTAGCTGCATCTGTAGCCAGCCTCCACTCCGCATTGCCCACCCTTCCCTACCCTCACTAACCCCCTGCACCATCACCCCCACCCCCAGCCTGGCAGCTGCATGGTGACAGAAGCCTTGCCAGCTCAGGGCATTAGAAGCAAAGTTGCATTTACTGGGCGGCTCTGGGCTTAGTGAGGTGTGCTAATCCCTTAAGAGATGTGTGGCAGGAGATGAGAGGCAGGGAGAGCTAGGGAGGAAATCCCCACAGGAGTGTAGGCCTGGCCCTGGGCTCTAATTCCCCCCAGAGATCAGGTTCAGGTCCTGCAGGAAATGCATGGGCTCCAAAGCTTCAGAGGCAGAGAAGTGGTAATTAGGGGAGGATGCTTTTGACAACAGAAGCAGTTCTGAGAGCAAAGGGGAAGGGGGGTACTAGTGGGGACAGATAGAGAAGGAGCTGAGCTGCCCTAAGCTATCAAAGGAGGGAGTGGGCCAGACCAGGCTCTGCAGCGGGAATGCCTGGGTCGTGCTCTAAACTTCCATCCCCGCTGGACTCTCTGAGTGATATCACATCTCTTCTTTCCCAGGAAAAGTTAGCGGATCCTGTGGATTTTGATCTTAAGATGTGCTACCATTTCAGGGTAGTTTGACTGTGGCCCTTGGGCCTTCCTGCCACCTCTGGCCCCTGAGGACAGGGGGTTCCTCAGCCTAGGAGCAGTCCAGAGTGTGGTGCATATTCTCAACAAATGTTACTGAGTGCTCTGCCTAAGTGAAGTCTTGAAGCCTACACTTGGCATTCTTCTTGAGAGTTAGAAATAGGCAGAAAAGAGAGCCTGGGAACCTGACCTGAGCTGACTGTGTTATTATGGCCCCAAAATGTGCTCCTTGGAGTGCTTCCTTTCCCAGGCCCAGGGAGGGGAAGATTCTACGTGCACTCAGTGCAGATTATTCAGGCACTAAGGCCTCCAGCAGGCCAGCACACTGTGCCAGGCTCGGCAGATGACAAGGCAAGGTCCTTGGAGAGTCCCAGCCTCCCATTCTGGGGAGAGGTCAGACTTTGGGGTGCTCATGGGACATCCTTTCCATGTCAGACTTTCAGGACCTGAGCCCCCTCTAGCTCACCATGCCAGATATTCTCTTTTTTTCTCCCCACTACAGGATGCTCGCTCCATGGCAGCGGCTGCTGCATCCCTCGGGGGACCCCGAGCGAACACTGTTCTGGAGCGCGTGGAAGGTGCTCAGCAAAGGTGGAAGCTGCAGGTGCAGGAGCAGCGGAAGACAGTGTTCGATCGGCACAAAATGCTCAGCTAGATAGGCCGGGCCATCAAGAGGCCAGGCTGCCAGCCGGGGGGATACACGGTACCAGGGAGCCGCTCCTCCCCTCCCAAAGCCAGTCTTCCCCAGGTCTTCCCTGTAAGAGCCCATGGCGTTTTTCCTTCTTCTCCCTCTCTTTAGAAATGTCGTAGTCAGCTTGTTGTGATTAGGGAAGAGTGACGAGGTCTCTGATCTCTGCTGTCTCCTCAGATCTTTGGGGTTGATGGGAGGGGGAAGGCAGGCGAGAGGGAATGGAGACATTCTAGGTGGCCTCTGGAGTGGACGGCATCACTCCCTTCTTGTTCCATCCTTACCACCTTTCCAGCTCCAAATCTTGGGACTTGTATTACCCCTTGGAAGATGGAGCTGAATCATCAAGAACTCAGTGTCTGGGAGGAAAGTATGGCCCAGCACTTAGCACATGCTCCTTTCTGCCATGCTGCTTACTCCTGCCATCCTCCCAGCACCTCACCTGGGTCTAGCCCCTACAGCAGCTCTTACGGGAGAGCTGAGCCCACTGTGGTCTGTGGGCACGTGGAAGCTTGGCGTTCCTTCGGCCCACACACTCCTGCTTACTCTGCTGCCTGAAAGCACTCCCACTTCAAGAGCCTGGGCAGTCCCCCTACCTCTCCCTGGTGTCTGTAATTGCTGCGTCAGATGATTGGACCACATGACACAAGAAGTTCAGCAGTGCATCTGAATGCCATAGCTCCTATCCTTGGACCACCACTTGTCCCTGAATTTCATTGTACCAATGCATGGAGAGAAATTTTTGTCCTTTCTGTTCTCTGTAAATCAAGGAAGCCATCATTAAATTGTTTTACTTCTCTCACTTGCTGGATTTTAAAAGCTTTAGGGAACTAAGGATTTTCCCCAAGTGTCCTGTAAGTGTGGTGTCCCAGAGAGGGAACAGAGAACATTATTGTCCTTGGTAGGTCCAGGCAAAGAAGTAGAGCTTTGGGAAGTCCGGGTGGCTATGGCAGACCCACAGGAGGATCCAGGCCAAGGCCCAGGCTTGTCAGAAGTCCTCTCTGCTGAAGAGGAAGGGGCCTGGCAGCTGCAGCTACTGCTACTTTACAGGCTCCTCCATTGCAAGGAGCACAGGTGAGCTGGCCCTTGGAATGAGCCTGAGATTTTGTTTCATCTTTGTGGAGCTCTGAACAGGGCCTGGTGGCATCCCAATATCTTACAGATACAGGAAATGCTGCTCACCGCAAGACCAATAAGTATCCCCAACTGAAAACCAGTAGTAATAGGAGGGGGCAGAGTGAGGGAAGCCAGGAGAGTGGAGCTGCCCTGTAGAAGGCAGTGTCAGTACCTTCCCGAGGCCATCCCAAGTGGCCCAGCTCTGCATCAGCTCCACCCAAGATGCACGGTGTGTAGGTGCACCCAAGGGGTGTAGAGGCACGGACTATTCTGATTAATGTTTCTGCCCTCGGTTTGTCCAAATAAGTCTGTACTGAGAACCTTTGCTGGGTTGTTGGTGACTGATGGCGGCAAGAGAAAAATGTGAAGTGGGAGTTTCAGTTTCCAACAGTTTTCCAAAGTTTAGAACCACTGATCTTCAACTGGTGTTTCACGGCACACTATTGTGCCCTGAAAGGGTCTTAGGTATGCTGTAAAAGTTTTTGAAAATCAGTAATTAAAATTATTTTCAAAAGAAGTTCAAAGCACAGTAAGTATATTCTTCTTTTGCTCTTTTTCTTGATCAACATAATTTAAGTGTGCTGCAGAAAGTTAACTATGGGCTCAAATGTGCCATGAGATTAAAAAAAAGGTTGAAAAACACTGGTTTAGAGCTAAGTACAAGTACTAGAGATGGCCTTACAGGAGCAGCAAAGACTTTGGTGTTAGTGGAAGCAAGTAAGGGACACAGCCAAGAGGGGTCTGAGTTGGTTGCTTAGCAGGAGGTACATAATGCCAGGCTGGGACATAGGCACCAGTGCTGCTGTCTTTGCCAGTGTTCATTTGCTGGGCATGTGGTTGGAATATACCAGGGCCAAGCACTGCCTTGGAAGCTACATTGGGCCCATTTTATCCTGTCAAGATGGGGATGCATTTATTTCAAGAGGCAGATAAGCAGGGCTTCCCAAAGGGAAAGATGGGGTATTAGCTTATCAGGAATAACCAGTTCATAAATTAGTGTCTAACATTACCGTATCTGCCTTCTAAAACTACTCTACCTGGAGGAAACCTCAAGTGCCACGTTTCTCTGAGTCTTGGGTAAGTCCTATGATGATCTAGGCCTGGCTTTAAAACAACTGCTACCAACTACAGATAAGTCCAGATATAAATAAGCCCAGCATATGAAAATTTATAAAACATGCAGAGTGACTGTCACTTTACATAAAAATTCAACTAGTAACCAAACATCTAAATATGTTTTAACTTTACATACAACCTGATTTTCATACAGCTCCAGAGCACACCTCATTATCTTTCTGCAAGTAATGGAATGGGGAGCCCCAGCAAACCGGTCAGCCACACTGTTCTGCAATCGATCGGTCCTGCCTGGAAAAACAACTTAACCTGCGTTTGGCCCTGGGAGCCTCAGAAGTGTTCCCATAGTTAGAGGCTGGCACTCACCCCTTATGTGGCTCAAAGGGTGTGAATGGAGAGGTAGAGGCCAGCCCACCTGTACATGGCCTCTGTTCTTCGCTCAGCCCAATTGTATTGCCCTCCTATTCCTGTTAACCTGGTTTCCATCCTTACACATCGTCAGCAAAATCCAGCCTGACTTCTCTGCTCCTCCCTGGGCAAATCAGTTCTGGCACAGGGCTGAGGGTGGCGACAGCAGGTTCATAGTTTCCTTCACGCCCCCACAGGGGCCATTAATCCTTCCTCAAGACTGTTGAGGCCACTAAGCAACCTTCCTATATTTCCTCTTCTCCCTCCCTTAGAAAATCTTAACCTACTTCAGGGAAATTGAGGCCATTAATTGTGATCTCTTAACCCTTAACCCCCATCTGCTATTTGTACTCATTATGACCAGCTCTGCTGTGGTCTTGGGGTGAGTGTGTCCCTTCTGTCCAGAGCCAACACCCACCCTGTACTCCCTGGAACCTCCATCATCTCTTCGTCTTGCCTTACTTCCTGGCCCTTCTCAGCATAGTAACATGCTCAAGTCCGCTGCCTATAAAGAACCTTCTAGGGGCTCTATACTCAACTCTGGCTACAATGAAGTCTCCCAGTCTCTGTGCCCTTCACTATCCACTAGTGGTCACTCTCCCCATGGCCTTGCCAGCTGACCTTACTCTCCATGCTCCACTGAAACAGTTCTCAGCAAGGTAACAGGTGACCCTGTAATCGCCAATCCCAGAGGATGTCTCAGTTATTATCTTTCTGGCCCTCTCTACTACATTTGATACTGTTGATCTTCCTCCCCATTAGCAAATCCTGTGCTCAGCTTCTAGGACCTTGCCTCTTGGGTTGCCTCATTCTTTCTTTCCACCCCTTCACCCTAAACGTTGCTATTTCCCAGGCTTCTATTCTCAGCCTACACAGCTCTAAGACAGTGGTTCTCAGCCTTCCTAATGCCAGAATGTATTTTCATTGTTAAAAAGGTGTCTAGAAAGAAGCCATGGAGCCCTTCCCATCCCAGTCCAACACCGGTAAGAACCGCTGATGTAAGATGTCACGTCTTTCATGATGTTCATTCTAGAATCTCTATTTCTAGCCCAGACCTGACCCACCCTTGAGTCCCCAGAGTTGTCTCCCTGGCTCTCAGTTGGAGTTCCCCTGAGCACCCCAGAGACTGTTTAAAATCAGCATGTCCAAGCTTAAATTCATCTTTGCCTTAAAATTGGCTTTTTGTACATTAATTGTTCAAGCAAAAAGGGTGAATCAGGTCTGGGCTAGAGAAAGAGATTCTAGAACAAACACCACGAAAGACATTACATTTTAGGTTGAGTTGAGTAGGCCGAGAATAGAAGCCCAGGAAATAGCAACATTGAGGGGGAAGTGAAGGAGGTCATCAATTCCTGATTCTTCTCTTGTCTGTAGCTGTTACATCCAATTGCTCAGAAACTCCCACCAAACATACCTCCAAATAGTTCTGGGATTTGTCCCCTCCTCAGTCCTAGCACAAACCCCTCCAAATAGTTCTGGAATTTGTCCCCTCTCCTCAGCCCCAGCACAAACATTCATTTCTCATGGGATAAAGCGGTTCTTGTTAGAGCCTTGAGAGGGCTTGCTTAACTCTGATCATGTCATTCCCCCTTCAAAATCATCAGGGGCTCCCCCTTTTCTAAAGTATGAGTTTTTTCCTGGGGTCTATAAGGCCTCAAGGCCATGGTCTGCCTGCCCCTCCAGACTTTGGCCCCAGCACCAATTGGCAGGAGTCATGGCGTGGGGTATGTGGTCACCTAGGTGAGTGCTGCATCTGAGGTGCCAGGCAGGGAGCTGGCCGCAAGCTGGCCCAAGTGGCTCTGTGTCCTGAGTGGGAGGACGCCAGCAGCTCCCACAGCTCAGGTCCTGCCCTGTGGGCTGAAGAGGGAATTGAGCTTGAAGAAGTGCTTGAAGGGCTAGGAGAGGGGTGCCCCAAACCTGTGCTTGCAATGAGTCCCTGAGTACTTGCCCTCCACTGTGCAGGCATCATTGGGAGGCAGGGGTGGAATGGGCAGAATGCGGGCCCAGATCTAGGAATTGACCTGACTTCTCAACCCAGCTATGCCCTCTGGCAATCCTTAATCCCTCTGTGCCAACCTCCTCACGTGCAGTAATACCGGAGCCCAGGGCTTAGCATGCGTAAATGCCCATTAAATGATGCCTACCACAAGAGGGCTGGGACTGAAAACTGCCTGAAAGACCAGTCCCCACTTGGGAAAGCAAGTGGGGCAGTGAAGAACGTGAACTCAGCCCAGTAACTTGGGTGTAAATCCTAACCCTGCCACTTACCAGCTAGGCAGCTTAAATTTCCAACTCTGTATGTCTCCATTTCCTCACTGCGAAATGGGGAAACAACCGCCACCTGCGCTGGGTTGTCGTAAGGATTACGTTGTTCACACGAATAGAACACCCAGAGCGGCCTCCACATAAGCACTCAGGGCGTGCTGGCTGTTCTCCCTCACATCGCAGTCGCTGCTCATGCGGCCTCCCCATCAAGTCACAGTTCTGCAGGTTCAACAGGGACTT